TATAATTCCAACATCAACTTTGGTGCTCTGATAATCTATACTCTGACTGATATTCCTTCTTAACCAACTAATTAATACAAGCTGCTACCTTCAGGGATCTGTGGACAAGCACTCCAAGATCCCTCTGTTCCTCTGAGCTTTCTAGCGGTCTACTTTTCATTAAGTACTTCCTACTCTTGAGACAGCTATTAGATTCAGATCACACAATGATTCAAACAGTGAAATGTTAAGGCTCACTAACCCTGAAAGTCTTAAACAGTGAATGTTGTGTGGATTAACCACACACTAACCTTTCATCGCCTGAGCGTGCAGCCATCACCATGACTTTGGGTCGCCTTCCTCTGGGTTTTGGAGTCTTCACCTCAACATCTGTAAGCAGAAAAATACAGAGAGATGCATAAAGAAACAATGCCACAGAAAATACTTCAAAAATATACCATTCATATTTGCAAAAACAACCACATGCATGTAAAACGAGCTGCAACTTGTACGTGCAAGTGTACAGAAAAATTACGAAAAAAAAGCACAAATTTTCTTTTGAAAAGTCGACTTACTGACCAACACCAGAATAAAGTAAGTGACATTTTAGTTCAAAGCCAAGTTAAACGTATCAGACAGATCTCATGATTGGGAAAAGGACCAAATGATGATGTAGTCTTAAATTTCAGGCTAACTAAACATTTGCATTTCTCTTCTGCCAATTCAAAATTTTAAAATGCTTTAACACTAAAATAAATATACAAGTTGAAAATTATACAAGGTACTTCAGAATGGTTTATCTACAGTGAATGATACAAACCTATCAGACCGCTTCTATTTCATCTACACCACGTTTCTCTCAGCCAATATTGAGCATACCTGGCCATAATCATTGTTTTCACATTCTAAACTTGCCCATTATTTTAAGAAATGCAAACATGGATCACCACTTCCAGAGCTCAACACAAACTGACCCGTGACCAACTTTTCACACCCATGCTTTCCACTTTTTCAGTTTAGGTCCAGCAATATCCAATGGGAAAAAAAAGACTGGAGTTTGATGTAAATCCCTCAAGTCAATCTCCAGTATATGGGCACAGCTTCAATCTCGGGGGAAAATAGTCTCCACTTTATGAAATACTTCATACCTTATAAAATAGCAGGTTTATTGATGATGAGAATAATACCTTTCTCTTTTAATTTCACACTTTGTCAGATGAAAAAGAAACGTTTATTCAGCCAGGGAGGGGAGGGTAGTGGTCAATGGGACTAAATGAACCATCATTCTGCCTCATTTAACAAAGTTTTCTTGGATTTCTCTTAGTTCTTGCAAATTAAAAATATACCATTACAGGAACCCAAGTAGATCCAGGCCATGCCTGTCTTTTCATGGAGTTACTGGAAAATTTCTTGCTCCAGCATTATTGAGTTCCCATTTCTGTGTCATCTTCTCATACTTTGATGACATACACTGATATCATCACCTCCTCTCATCTTGGAGTGAAAAATATTATAAATTATCCACCATTACATTGTGTATACTTCGACTTCCTCCCTTAATTTTACCACCTTCATTTCTGGGAATTGGCTGTCCACCAAACATCTCACAGGAGGGTAGAAGGGAGTGTGACTATTTCATATTTCCAGGGTTTCCATCATGTCGCATCTACTCTGTCAATACCACCCTCTCACACCAATGTTTCAGTTACACCTGCCTTCCTACTTCAGCCAACAAACTCAGCCACATGTCCTACTTCCTACATTTCCAATCTCACCTATTCTCTCTCAATAATACAGTACTCCTTTGTCTCACCTTTCACAGCAACCAGCCTCCAAATTCAACAACAACACCCTGTTCCACTTGCTTCACCCCCATCAACTCAGTGCTTCCCAAACAGTATGATCCAATATCTGTCCCTTTACCTCCTGTCCCACCATCTGGGGTGCCAACACCTTTTCCAGGTGATACAATATTGAAAGAAGTAGAATTAAAATGTATTTGCTGCTTATGCAGCAGTCCTCTCTATATTGAGGATCCAAATGCAAATTGGATCATTATTATGTTGAATGCCTCTGTTCAGTCCACCAGTGTGGCCCTGAGCTTCTGGTCGCTCACTGTTCTAAATCTCTGTCTCACTCAGTACTCTGTTCTCAGCCACCTGCACTATCCCAATGAAATCCAAATACTGCAGAGTTAGGGATTTTTACAGCCATCCAGACACCACTGCGCCTATTTTTTCTGTTTTTTTTCCTGCCCCCACCCCCCCACCCCACCCCCAACAGACATCAATTACTTGCAATGATTCTGTACATTAAATCCACCAAAGAAACCAACCTGTCCTTTCCTCTCCCAATCCTACTTTCATCACACCTACACTTACTTAGAAATTACATCTGTAATGACTTTCAGCCCTACAAGAAGGTCACAGACCTGAAATGCTAACTGTGTTTCTCTCCCCTCAGTTGATGAGACCTGAACATTTCCAAAAAGTTTTGCTTTAACTTAAGATCTCTCCATTGTTCTGAATTTGTCAATGACATTCTGCCTTGATGTTGAACTTTAATACACTTTGTCAACATTCAGCCAATTCTACCTGTACTCAATCCAGTTTTATTGAAGGTTTGGAAAGAGATTACCCACCTTGTTTCTTCCGCTTGGCGCTCTGCTTTTCGGCTTCAGACTCTGAACCGACATCTACTTGTTCAATCTAAATGTAAAAAAGATTTATACATTTCAGATCAAAGTGAACTCAGTCTTAAATAAACCTGTGAACACAATGTGTGATAGAACTGTAATTTAAGTTTTTTTTATAATGTACATGCACTATAGAATCATAGAATCCCATTCAGCTCATCGAGTCTGCACTGACCCTCCAAAGGGAGTCGATCCCTGCAATCTCACATTTACTGTGGCTAACTCGCCTAGTCTGCACATCCCTGGACAATACAGGGCAATTTAGCATGATCTAAACTGCATATCTTTGGACTGTGGGAGAAAATCTCAGGGAAACACAGGGAAAATGTGCAAACGCCACACAGTCACCCAAGGCTGGGATCAAATCTGGATCCCTAGTACTGAGGCACCATTGCTAACCACTGAGCCACTATGCTGGCCAACTAAGTACAGAAAAATAATCTTTCAGTGCATGCCTGATACGGACTGTCATTTCACACAAATGACTTCTGATGCAACAGATTTGCAATGTGGTCAAGGACAATCAGAATGATCCACAGACAATAAGGATGAAATAAAACACCACAGTTTTTGTCTTCCAGAACTCAACTGCAGAGGCCAGACACCTAATAAGAATTTTTTTAAAAATTTACACAAGTCCTTCCACCCCATCTAGTGATAAGCAGGTAACTGATGAATGAATGACTGACTGTCTTGGACCTTCAGTTCTTGTGTGCCCTAGACTGGTAGGGACAAATTAAACCTATCTGATGGCAGGCAACATGCTCAGTCCTGTAATGATTCAGTCTAATGTAAATGGACACCAGAACAAGGGCAATCAATCAGTTCAGCATGTAACATTTAATTCTACATTTAATTCTACATTTAAACATTTGAAGAAATATATGTAACGCATGTGCATAAAAATTTCAACTCACCACCCTAGATTTAGCTGCAAATCCCAATGCCAGAAGCAATTACAGTGTTCATTCTTGAAACATCTAGACAAAACAGAACTGGGAAATTCCTTTCCTACAAACCAATACAATGAACTGCACCTTTCTCTTTCGTCCTCTCTTGGCACCTTTCTTTGGAGGTTCCATTACCGCAGCTTTCTTTGTAGAAGTTTCCTGTTTAAAATAAATTAAAACATCGAAATGGACTGAAAGACAAAGTTTCTTGTGTAGCAAATAAAAAATGACTCGAGATTCAGGTGCATTTTCTTGAGTGTATAAACAAACCTAAACCAAGGCATCCAGGGCAAAATAAGGTAATTACTTCATGCAAATGATCATGGTTCACTTGTAGGGGTGTTACAGAAGCCACCCTGGATTCTAGAATCTCCTCAGTACAAATTAAAAGAACCCCAGCAAGGATTGTCCTAGCTCAAATGCAATATTAGAAAGCAACAGGTTTGTGGTGAGAATGCATTGGGAAATGCACTTTTAGGAATGGGCGAAAGGTTTTTCATTCTATCTTAAATGGCGCAGAGAGATATCAAGCAGCAAAACAACGCGCAAGGTCACTTAGTAACAACAACAGGATGCAACTACAAATCCCAACATTGCACTCTACAGACCTCACTGCGTGGATACAGCTTCATTTTGGAGCTGCACAAAGAAATCAAAGGAGAAGACTGACACATTAGCCTACTTACAGGGGGGCTACAATCTTATCATGACTCATTTTAGGGCCTAAACTGTTCCATGTCCCAGTCCCCTACCCCACACACCAGGCCTTGTTACCACATAGCCTGCCATTACACACCACCTACTGTTTATCACTCTGTCTGCCCAACTGCTCTTCTCTCTCTTTAGGCTCTATTCTATCGTTTACTCCCTACCCTATCCCCATCCCCATCCCCGTCCCCTTTTTTTTTTGCATGTAAACTGACGTTTTCCCAGCCACCATCAGTTCTGAGGAAGGGTCACCGGACCCGAAATGTTAACTCTGTTTTTTCCTTCACAGATGCTGCCAGACCTGCTCAGCTTTTCCAGCAACTTTGTTTTTGCTCACAATCTTATCAGCCTTTGAAGTGAATACTGTCACACAGCAATGAAAAATAACCACAGAAGACTATCAAATGAAATCTGGATAAAAGTACAACTTGCCAGAACTAATTTGGTAGAGGAATAAGAACATGGTAAAGAATAAGGATACCAACAAACCTGAGGACATAATCTAAGGAAACGAAAACAAAAACGGCAGATGCAATTTGATACAATAATAGTGTCAAGCAGGCAGCAAAGTGATTCCTCCACTGAGGATTCATGTGTATGCTGCCATTCATGTCTTCTAAAGTACTTTGGGCCTTGCAAGATCTAGATTGTGAGAGTGTAGCTAATTTCTAGTCTAACAAGAGGAATCTTTGAGAGTAAACAAGATTTGGTTTATTGCATTTCTGCCACTACGTATCATAATATGAGCTACATTACTACAAAGATTATTGGAAAATCTAGTCTTGGGTCCATCTGAGAGGAGATTCTACTTTACTTGACCACCAACTCTTCAAGCCATCATGACAGTGGGTGAAGCTTATTGCACTCAATCAAGCATTAACTTATTCAGACCTGTATACAACAGGTTCCTCTTGAGGTTTTCTCTAGGATGATTTTTGCTTTTCAAAGGTTACCTTTTCACTCTCACTAACTTATTTATTAGGTATTTAAGTCATTAAGTAATATTGGCTTCTATACATGTGTTGACATGTGGGGAACATGTACTCTCACAGAAGCAGAATTAGAGGAATTCAACAAGCTAGCAAATGTTTTTCTAAAAAAAAATCTGACACACATCTATATATAAAAAGACATCACCATACGTTCTATAGCCTGGTGAGATCACAGTTAACAACTGCATTTTTGTCTCAACAATCACTGCATCTCAAGTAATTGACACTATGCAAGATTTTTGAAAATATAACAAATGCAAATATTTATGAATTTTTTTTCTAAATTATCCAATTTTGGTAGAAAAAAATGAGTGAGGCAACATTAAGAAAATACTATGATTCTGAGGATCATGCAGGAACATCTATCTGCAAGTATTAGTCACCCAAAACGTTTGGCTATGGGAGGACAAGTTGAGAAAGCTATTAGAAAGAAATCAGTAGGATTCTTCACTTTATAATATATCGATTTAAAATGACAAAAGCAAATAAATTATGCAAAATCTCCAAAGACGATAGGTTGGGTCCCAGCTGGTGTACTCTATCTAATTCTGGATAGCACAGAATAGGAAAGTGTTAAGAATTTATTGAGACATTGGAGAAGTTTACCAGAATATTATTGAAGATTCGTAACTTCAGTTACAGGGTGAAACTAAACCTGGGGTTGCTCTCTGAAGCCAGAAATGGAGGAAAAATTTAACTGAGACTTTGCAAAGAGTAAATAAATTGTTTAAAGTAGTACAAAAGGTAAGTAACTACAGGGCACAGATTTACAGTTATCAGCAATAAGTGACTTGAGAGGTCTGTAAGAACCGCAAAGGTGGTTAAGACAGATTCAATAGTAATGTTCAAGGTTAAATTGAATAAATTGTTCAAGGCGAAATATTTGCAGATCTACAAGAAGGCAGTATCAAGTCCTCTGTGCTGTATTATCCTATGGTACTATGTTTTCTCTGTCCTTTCAAAGTACTAAGTTATATTGGTCATGCAATGAATATGCTTCCATGATTTTTTCCTATTGACACTTCCTACTTCTGAAAATCTTATTTGGCTTGGGGTCAATTTTTTGTCTGATTATACTCCTTGAAAGACCTTGGAATGTTTAATTATATTAAAAGCATTATATAAACCAAAGCATTCTGATGGATATTAGAAGTGAAAACATTGACAATTACAATGGGCTAGATCTGTGATGCATGTATAGAAATACAGCTGAGAGTATGCGTTAACCAGGTGAAAGGTAGCAAAAACAGAAACCTAAACATTTATTGGTTTCTTTCATTCACATTAGTAAGTAAGGCTGTCGCACACAATGATCATGCGAAGATTATACATTACTTACATCATCACTATGCTTGTCAAACTCTGGTGAACTTGCAGCATCAGACTCCTCTTTACCCAGATTTGATACACCCGTTTCCTTCCCCTCTTCAGCATCTTTATCAGTTGACAACTTGCGAGCTCGTTTATTAGAACCCTATAATATCCAAATATTGTAAATGGTTAATGCACATTGCAGAACAGTTTCAATCACCACCTACCTCATTCCATTGAATGTTACTTACTAGTAGGCATTGACAGATGCTGCTGAATTGTGTACCAATGTTGGACCCCTCTCAATGAACAGTCAGCCACAAAGATGAAGACCAATGTAAAGTTTTAATTTCAATGTGCTGTGTTAACAAAGAAAAACAGCACTTTTTTGGCGGGGGGAGGGTGGCACGGTGGGTGGGGGAGATAAACCAGCAAGCTACCTTGTCCAAGCTCACATTAAGATTAGCCATTTGGGAGAAAGTGCTAGACAGTTGCTGGCATTTTACAAGAGGAAGCATGCTTAAAAGAACAAGAATATGGTGAAGGGATAAATTACATTAAAATGTATAAAAATTAGTCACATTACAGGTAAATACATTTACCCAGGCTTAATGCACAAAAATACTAGATTATTGCTCAGAATGTATCCATTATATGTACTTAAATAACTTCCGCAATTCAAGGTAATGTAGGCTTTGAAGTCAGGTATTACTCAACAGAGAATAAATTAATTCTATTCTATCACACCTGCTGCTGCCTTTGCATTTAATTTTCAAGACAGTAATTTAAATTACTCCAGTACGGAAGTCAGGATCAATGGTTCATTAATTCTTAACTACAATTTAGCATAGTTGTAAAGTATTATGGAAGGGAAGAGAAAGAAATTAAGGGAATATAATAAGATCTAATTCAGGCTTGCATTGCATGTACACAAATGCACAAACACAGCAAATAAGGTTGGCAGTTACAAATAGGCAAGTGGAAATGATGTTATAATGATAATGAAGACCTGTTTCAAGAAAGGGCAAGTCTGATTAGTAAATGTTCCTGGATGTACAGTTCACATAGATTATACAGACCTCCAAAATGCTTTCAATAAGAGGCTCATCAACAAAGTTAACAGCCCATGAAATAAAATGGGAAAGCAGTAAGGTTATGAAATTGGTCGAGAGAGAGAATGGTCAGCGGGATTGTTGATTTGTTTGCTGAGCTGGGAGGTCGATTTGCAGACTTTTCGTCACCATACTAGGTAACATCGTCAGTGCACCTCTGATAAAGCGTTGTTGGTCTGAGACGCTGGTAGTCAACCCGGAACTCCATCAACAAACATGTGGGAATAGACCCAATATACCAACCACTACAAAGCAGAACTGGAAATGAGGCCAATCACATGGAACCAGACCACGTGAATAACAAGCGGGACAGACCAACAACGCTTCATAAAAGGCACACTGATGATGTTACCTAGTATGGTGATGAAATGTCTGAAATTCAACCAACCAGCTCGGCAAACAAATCAACAACCCCATCCACAACCCGGGCTACAAGTCTTCTCAAAAACTTTAGAATGGTTGCTTTGTTGGACTATAGGAAGGATTTTCCCAGGGTTCAAAGGTAGTACACCTGCTTTTCTTGATATACATTAATAGCGTAACTTGGGGTATAAGGCACAACTTTTAAATTTGCAGATGAGCAAAACAAAAATGAGAAGAAGCAATATATAATAAAGCGTACAATTCTAAAGGAGCTAAAGGAGCAAAGGGGTGAATGAGGGGTGAAGGTACTAAGGTGGGTTATTTCATAAAGTACGCAAGGTCCAGGGCTTAATGAAATGGGGCATAGAGAAAAGAATGCAACACAATTGCGAGGAACCTGAACACTGGTTCAGCCTCAACTGGAATACTGCATTTGGTTTTGGTCTCTGCACTTTAGGAAGGATACAAAGGCATTACAGAGTTAGCTACAAAAGATTTAGAAGAATGTTTCAAGCAACAGAAACTTCAACTACGTGGAGCTGATTTGCTTGGAAAAGGAGATCTGACAGAAACGTCCAAAATTTTGAGAGCTCTGGACAATTAGAAAGGGAGAAACTAATCCCACCAGAGGAGAATCAAAAACCAGAGGGCACAGATTTAAGAAAGGAAGCAACAATGGCGTAAGGAAAAATGTTCTTATACAGTTGAGTGGTTAGGATCTAGAATGCAATGCTTGAGAGGGTGGTAGAGTCAGTTTCAATCAAGGACTTCAAGAGGTAACGGGACAATATCTGAAAATAAAAGAAACTGCAGAAATATCAGGAAAGCTAAGCAAACTGCCACTAGGTGAACTGCTCTTGCAGAGATCTGATGCAGACAATCCACCTAAAGCTTCCTCTGTGGGGTAAACATTTTCATAGAATTCCACAGAATCCTTACAGATGCTGTTCAGAGGTTGGTGCAGACTTAGAGGCCATTCGGCCCATCAACTCTGCACCGACCTCCGAACAGCATCCCACCCAGACGTACTCATCCTTCCTAACCTTGTAACTGCATTAACCATGGCTGATCCCCTAGCCTACATGCTCCTGGATGCTACAGGTCAATTTTAGCATGGTCAATCCACCTAATCTCCAAATCTTTGGACTGTGTAACTGGAGCACCCAGCAGACACAGGGAGAACATGCAAACTCCACACAGTCGCCCAAGGCTGAAACTGAACCTGGATCCCTGGTGCTGTGAGGCTGCAGTGTTCACCACTGTGCCACCATGCTCCCCACCCATTTTATGGACATAACATGTCCAAGAAGAGGAGGAAGAGATGTGGCAGTATGAAGAAAAATATTTTAGTTCAGGAGACAAATGTCCTTGACAGATTACTGATAAACTTATTTGGTTAGACATAAGAAACAACAGAGATATCTTTATAGTACTGGGTGTATTTGATAGGCCAAAGTAGTGGGAAAGAAAAAGAGGAAATTTATAGAGTGGTACTTATAGAGAGAGATAATGGGGATTAAACTATTCCAGTCTGTATGAGAATAAATAAGGTAAAACACAGAGGTAGAAGAGTTCTGAAGACCATACTGAAAAATTTTCTTGTCTAGTACTTTTCAGGCTGAAAGAGGATGTAGTCATTTTGGATCTGGTATGCATGTTGACAATAGAAAAGAAGAATGAGCAATCCAGAGTTAAAATACTTACTTAGAGGCAAGCCAATTTCAGTGGACTGTGAATGGATCTGATCTGAATAAACTGAAATCAAAGACTGTCAGAGGGGAAAAGAAATTGTGATGGAAAAACAGGTTGCCATGGACACAGTTAGGTCCATTCTCACAAGGTGCGAAGCCAGGACAGAAAGGTCCTTAGATGATGAGAGAATGGAAATAAGATGAAGTAGGAAGAAAAGATGTAAGATAAAGATATCAGTTGTTTGATAATAAGTAAGGACCACAATAATACAAGCCGAATACAGAAGGTGAAAAAAGAAAACAGCAGGAAAAAAAAGGCAAGAGTATGGCAACAGCCTGGCAGCCAACATAAAAGAGAACCCAATTCACTTGATGTGGGCACTGTTGGCTGGTCCAGCAGTTATTGCCCATCCCTAGTTGTCCATGAGGTGATGACAGGGGGCTGCCTTCTTGACTTGTGCAGTACATGTAGGTACTGTAGACCTATTAAGCCATTATAAGGGGAATTCCAGGATTTTGACCTGACAACACTGAAGGAACAGTGATACATTTCCAAGTCAGAATGGTGAGTGGCTCAGAAGAGAACATACCTGGGAACACAAACCACCTACATTTGGTGAATTTTTGCACTGCATCTTATAGATGGTGTACACTGCTACGACTGAACATTGGGATGTGGTGCCAATCAAGCAGGCTACTTTGTCCTGGATGGTGTCAAGCTTCTTCAGTTGTTGGTGCTGCACTCATCCAAACAAGCAGGGAACATTCCATTACACTCCCGTCCTGCGCCTTGTAGATGACAGACCAGCTTTGGGGATGACCGACTGCAGGATTCCTAACCTTTAACAGGCTCTTGCGGCCACTGTATTTAAATATCTGGTCCAGTCCAGTTTCCGGTCAACGGTAACCTCTAGATATTGATAGTGGTAGTTTCAATAATGCAATGCCATTGTATGTCAAGGGAAAATGGTTAGATTCTGTCTTGTTGGAGATGGCCATTGCCTGGCATTTACACGGTGCGAACATTACATGCCATTTTCTTCCCAAACCTGGATATTGTCCAGGTCTTTCAGCATTTGGACATGGGCTGCTTCAGTATCTGATGAATCACATGTGGTACTGAGCAATGCATAATCATTGATGAACATCCCCACTCCTGACCTGAAAGCAAAGTTGGCTGAAGTGAACTGGCAAATTAGATTAAGGAAGAGGTTTAAAAAAAAATGCAACAGCAAATATTTAAAGGAATAATTCAGAATACGCAGAACAGATGCATTCCAAAGCTGAAGAAAAATTCTAAGGGAAAAACCCACATTCCATGGTCAACCAAGAAAGTTAAAATAGTATCAAACTTAAAGAAAAAGTACATACAGCAAACTTATTTATTAACCAGGGGACCAAGAGTGTGCCAGTTGATCAAATAATCAAGAAGTCCACATAATCAATGTAAAAATACACACTCAATAATAGAAATGTAATGCAGGTTTTACTTTATTTACAGCATAAATCACAAATAATAATGCAATTTTTGCCTGAAATAAAATTCACTAGTGGAGACCTTCTCACTCGCACCCTTAACTGACCACTCGGACATTGTGGCAGATCACAGTATTTGAGGGGAAACTGACTCGAAACTGAATTAACTGTTGATATTTTGTGTGGCCAGTCAATTGAACAAGTTTATTTACATTGAGATAAAGAAATTAAAAAGTTATAATAATTAGACAGAATAATACTTTGCAACATCCTAGGTGTTATCATTGGCCAGAAACTGAACTGCACTATCCATTTAAATACAGTACTTGATATGTATAATATTTGCCAGTTTAGAGAGTGCTGGTTCGAAAGGTGCCAGTCAAAACAAAACAAAATTTGCTGTAATTGCACAAAGATGCATGGCAAACAAAAAGATTTGACAATAATAAAATCAGCAAGGAATGACAAAGATTAATAAGGAAGAAAAAAAAGTACGACAAAGCTAGTTAGAAATAGAAAAACAGATAGTGAGCGTTTCTATATCTCTTTTTAAATTATTTATAAAGTGAGTACTAATCATAAAAAGTGAGTTTGGAGAATTCGTGACGGGAAATAAGAGACTAGCAGAAGAATAGAACAGTTATTTTGCATTAGGTTTCACTGTACAGGATACAAATAACATCCTAGAAATAGCAGTAAATTTGGAAATGGGAGGGAGGAGCTCAGGAAAATTCTTGCCACCAGAGAATTGATTCTGAATAAAATGTTTGCGCTGCAGGCTGACAAGTATTGTTGAATTTCATCCTAGGGTCTTAAAAAACATAGCAAGTGAGGTAGTTGATGCCATGAGTTTTAGTTATCCAAAACTCCCTAGATTCAGGGAAGCTGCCATTAGATCAGAAGATAGTGAAGCTAACAAGTTTATTCAAAATGTAAGGTGTGCACAAAGCAGGACACTACAGACCAGTTAATTTAATTTATCTCATAGGGAAAATATTAGAAGTTATAGGATGGGAAGACTTCAGAGGGATGTAGAAAGACTAAGCAAGTGAACAAAAACTTGACACATGAAATATAATGTGAGAAAATGTGAGGCTATGCACTTTAGCAGAAGCAATAGAGGAGTTGAACATTATTTAAATGGTGAATATGCTTCAGCATTCTGCAGTCTGAGATATTTGGGAGTCCTCATGCATTAATCACACAAAGGTAGTATTCCAGTTCAGCAGGTAATAAAGAAGGCAAACGGAATATTAGCCTTTATTATCTTTATACTCCATTTCCTTTGAAATAAAGTCGTGGTAAAACGATACAAAACACTAGTTAGATCACACCTGGAATAGTGAACAGTTTTGGTCCCTAAGCAAAGCTAGACTGGCATTGGAAGCAGTCCAGAGGTGGTTTACTGGGTTGATCCCAGGTATGAGGGATTGTCTTATGAGAAGATTGGCCTGTATTCACTGGCGTTTGAGTCTACATTCAGTGGAGTTTAGAAGAACAAGAGGCGACCTTACAGAAACATACAACGTTCTTTGGGGTCTTGACATAGGCAGAGAGGTTGTTTCCCCTTGTGGGACAGTCTAGAACAGAGCACATAATCTCAGAGGAAAAAGTCACCCAGTTAAGAGAGAGACGAGGAGTAATTCGTTCTCTCAACGGGCAGTGAATCTGTGAAATTCTTTACTTCAGAAGCTGTGGAGGCTGGGTCATTAAAACTATTGAAGGCTGAGGTAACAATTTTAATTAGTAAGGGAAACAAGAGTTTTGGGGAAGGCAGGAAAGTGGAGTTTAGGATTATCTAATCAGTCATTGCTCTCACTGAATTGTGAGCAGACTCAATGGGGCTGAATAGCATACTTTTGCTACTACATGGTCTGGCACTTACACAATTTCAGACAATTTGACAAAGTCAATATGGTTTTATGAAATGTTTAACCAATCTACTGGAGCTCTTTAAGGAAGTTAACTGTTGTGAATAATGGGGAACAGGGTGGACGTACTGTACTTAAGTTTCCAAAAGGCACTTAACAAATTGCCTCATCCAAATTTATTGCAAAAAATAAAAGGTCAGAGAGTAAGGCTGGCATACTGGCACAGACAGAAGATTCGCTGGCAAACATGAAGCAAACAGTCAACGTAAATTAGTCTTTTTCAGGCTGGCAAGATGTAACAAGTGGTATGCCACAAGGATCAGTGCTGGGACCTCAGCTGTTTATTACTTATACAAATGACTTTGATGAAGGCTCCAAAGGTATAGTTGCCAAATTTGCTGATGACATAAAGATACGTAGGAGAATAAGGAGGCTACAAAAAAAAAGTAGATTTTTGTGTGTGCAAAATTATCTTGTAAGTCGTGCATAATATAGGAAAAGGCGAGCTTGTCTATTTTGGCAGGAAGAATAAAAAACTTACCTAAATGGGGAGAGATTGCAGAGTTGAGATGTAAAAGGACCTGCATGTCTTACTGCATGAATTACAAAAGGCTATACGCAGCTACAGCAAGTAATTAGGAAAGCAAATAGAATGTTATCAATTACTACAAGGGGAAGCGAGTACAAAGATAAGAAGACCATGCTTCAATAATAGAGGGCATTGGTGAGAGACCACATGTGAAGTAGTGTACAGAACTGATCCCCTTATTAACGGAAGAATGTAAATGCAAAGGAAGCAGTTCAGAGAACATTTGCTAGACTAGTATCTGGAATTGGCAGGGCATCTTATGAGAACCAGCCGGACAGAGTAGTGCCTGCTGGAGTTTAGAAAGGGAGGAGCTTGACTGAAGCGCAAGATCCTCAGGGGTCTTGACATCGCAGATGTGGAGAGGATGTTTACTCTTATGCAAAGATCCGGAGGTGGGATAGGTGGTGGTGGGGGCTGCTTCGAAGACGGGATGTCCATTGAAAACAGATGAGACAAGTTTTTTTTCCCCTCTCAAAGAGTCCCAAGTCTTTGGAACTCTCTTCCTAAGAAAAGGCTGGAACCAGAGTCTTTGACTATTCTTAAGGCAGAGGCAGATGGATTTTTGTTAAGTGTGAGGGCAAAAGGTCAGTGGGGAGAACATCAGGTCAGCTCCTCGTTCCTTTGACAGACTGGGTTGACCAATCATTCTGAATTTTCTGATACTGCAACTCAAATGGCATATCTATTACTTGCTTTTATAACAATTGCTAAAACTCACTTGTTGTCCAAGAAATTTAACCGTTGGGTTATTTTCAACTTCCCACAGTCCCTCGTTGAAACCTTTTCTCTTGTTGGGCTTCCCATACTTTTCCTTGTTTTCTTCATATGGATAAATGTCTCGTGGACCCAAATAGGCACTGAAAAGGTTTTGAAAAGTTAAGTATACTTAGTTTCAACAATCTGTAGGTCAGAGATACATCTTCCTACAAGTACCCATGGTTCAAGCACTGAGCCACAGTTCTGTAACTGCAAAACTACCTTTATACTGATATAAAGCTGCACAACATGAAATTCATAAACTGTAGGCAACTAGTACATTCCCACATACACATCCTATGACTATTCTTGTTATAAAAGATAGTTAGGAGTCACCAGTGGCTCAGCAGTAGCATTCTCACTTCAGGATCAGAAAGTTGTGGGTTCAAGCTCCAGACTTGACTGAAATTGCTTCCTCTTTTGGATAATGCATTAATTCAAGGTCATGTGGCCCCCTCAGGTGAGCATGAAAGATCCAGCACTGCTATTCAACGAATACCATGGGGTTTCTACCACTTTAACCATTAACCGTCCTGATCATTCTTACATTAGTCGAGCCAGTTTCCTGACAGTAACACAGCTTAACAGTACTTCATTAGCTGTATAGAAATTGTGATGTCTGAAAAGCACTATATTAATGTTTTAAATCTTTCTTTCTTTACCAGCTTATTTGGAATTGCAGTACAAATGTTCCTCACAACCGTCTTGGCTAACTTTTATTAAATGTTACAACAACTGCCAATATGACCATTAGCAGAAAAATCTCATTAACTAAAGATTTTGGAGTAGATCTGTAGCTCAGGTTGTGGGTGTTGAGGTTGGTTGGCTCGCCAAGCTGGTTTGTTGTTCTGCAGACGTTTTGTTACCGTGCTTGGTAACAACCTCAGTGCAGCCTCTGATGAAGCGTCGGTGTGTTTTCCCGCCTGGTTTTTAAACTGGTTTAAAAAGAACCTACATTTATACTAGCATCTTTCTTAATATCAGCAAGTTCGCACGAAGGGTCAGAGAGAACTTCAGTTTGATGTCTCAACTGAGAGACAGCACAAACAGGTGAAGTACCATCCTCAATTATGTACTTAAATCTCGTGTTATCATAATGCTGTTAATTGAGCAAAGGTTGACATGAAGCATTTGGTTTTATGGAAAACACCAAGCCTAACAATAAAGATACATCCATGTGGGATACAATGTGATTCATTTCCCTCTTAAGTCCATATGTTGCTGTGAATTCTGCCCTGACAGTAAAAATTTCAAAACCATTTCTATAAAGAATTTCAAAAGTCACTACTTACGTCTCATGAGTTCCAAAGAAGAAAATGGGATATTTATTTGTTGAAGACTTTACTGCTCCATCAGCAAAATCATCAATCTGAAGAAACAAAAGGCATTTTCCTTAAACATCATATCCCTGTTACTTCACATTATTTTATCACAAACTGTTACTTGAAAGTTTGATGCAACTCAAAAAGTGCTTTATCCACGAGCACTTAAAGGAAAAGAAACAAAATATCTATTCAAGAGTATACAGATCAGATATTTCTGAACCGATCATGAGTTTTTCAGTGCCAATTCCAATTGGACATTTATGGAATAAGCTCCCCCGCATATCAATACTCAAAAGCTCCTGAACTCAACGTTATTAATCTCCAAGAAATAAAGATTTTAATGGCACAAAGAAACTACTATAACTGTTAACACATCAAAACAGAACAGAAGGCTATCTTCAAAATTGCTACACATCAATTGGAGCCAGAGAGAAGTATTTCATTTTTGTTGTAAGGTCAAAGTCCAAAATGAGTAAAACAAGAGACTTTTTTCCGGGAAATGGGCAAACCAACAAGGCCATCATTTATTGTCAGTTCTTAGTTGCAATTAGGAAGATATTGTTGGGCCTTAGTCTTGAACTGGTATAGTAGATGTAACAAAGGTAGGGAGTTCCAGGTGTTTCACCTAGTGCATGAAGGAATGGCAATGCATGTCCAAGCTTAGAAGATGTGACTTGGAGATGATGATATACCACGCAAACACTGCCCTTACCTTTTTAGACGGTGGATGCCTCAAGTTTAGGAGGCATTATCAAAATGTGGGGCGTAGTAGCTGCATTCCACCTGGGGTCATAATTCAAAGCAAATCCAAGCTTATACAATGATAGTTTCCTATGTTTACCGGTTTTAAGGGTCATATCATGAGATAACTGAACTGTCTCAGTTTAACTTACCAACATGCAGTAGAAATAAAAATAACTGAAATAAAAGGTACATAATATAGTCAGACGTCTTGCTAGTGAATTACAAACTCTTGCATTCTCAGTAGCTCAACTTGATGTAACAATTGTTACGCTGGTGCAGCTAGACAGCACTGATGGTTCTTCATGGGCAAGAACAGAATCATTACTCTCAAATACATTTTAAACCCAGCAAATCCAGGGGCAGTGCAGAACAAACCAAGGAGCAATTAGAGTATTTTTTGCAGGAGAACATGTCTCTGGGACATTACTAAGTCTGTAAAGTTAGTACACAATTTCTAAAGTCTAGAGTGATCAGCAAGCCCTAATTCAGGATACTTTGGTCCAGTAAGATTATACAGTAAATAGTACATGGTGAAGTAATGTTACTATTGGAAAAGCAGAACAGAAGTCATCATTTTGGGGATTAGGGAATGCAATTGAAAATTCTCACATCTGCCCACTGAAAGAGAATTCACCGAGTACATGCTAATCTTTTCAATCAATACTGTAAAAAAAATACTTAATGAACCCATAATATTTGATCGCCCTTTGTTCCTCAATTCCTAAACTGTTACACAGCAGTACATTTGTGCTCCCTGGTCCAGTACAATCCATCGTTAGGATTATTTACCAGTACTTTTGTATGTAATGCCACCTGCCAAATATTTTTATGTGGAATCAAAACAACACTACTGTGTCCAGTTCTGGTTGCCCTGTGGTAGGAAGTATATTATTAAACTGGACAGGGTTTAGAAAAGATTTACTAGGACGTTGCAGGAATGGAGAGTTTGAGTTACAAGGAGAGGCTGGGACTTTTTCACTCTAACATAGGAAGTTGAGGGATGACTTTATAGAAATTTATAAAATCATGAGGGATATAGATAAGGTGAATGGCAGGTGTCTTCTCCCTAGAGTGGGGGATTTCAAGACCAGGAACATATTTTTAAGGTAAGAGGAGAAAGATTTAAAAAAAAGTGGCAATTTTTTTTACATACACTTACTCATGGTGCGTGGAATGAATTTCCAGAGGAAGTAGTGGATGCAGATAATCACAATGTTTAATAAGTAATTGGATAAGAACATGAATAAGGACTGTTTGGAGGGATACGGGCCAAGTGGAGGCAAACGGGACCAGTTTAGTTTGGGATTATGGTCGGCATGAACTGGTTGGACCGAAGTGTCTGTTTCCGTGCTGTATGACTATGTTGCACACCAGCTGTGGTACCACAAATGTAACATATTTCACAGAAACAGCTTTGATTATTTTGATACAACTGGGGCAAGAAAAGATGAATCAAAAGACGGATACAGTAACCTCGATGTTCTAAAGTAACAGCGTACAGGAAGTATACAAGAGGAACGTTAAACAAAGAATGGTTTATTAGATTAATAATTATTATTGCTTTTGCAGCGTGGCTTCTAAATTTCTTGGGATACACGAGTGGCCTCTGTTTAAACAAATGAAAACAGCAATTTCAACATTTAATTTTTAAACCTGTAGTACAGCAAGTTTGCTGGACTCCACGTGCCGACCGAGATTTTCATGTATTCTAGCACCCCGCCTCCCTCCTCACTCGTACCGTGACATTCTGCAAGCGTGTACTGGGCTGAGTAAGATACATGCACTGTGAAACAGTCTTTAAAAAGTCTTCAACTCTCCAAATAGTCACTTGTTCTCCTTTTTTATCCCGGAAAGGTTTGTTTTTGACCATGCATCAGACAGCTCATACAAAAGACTGGTTTATAAACCCGACCATTCGGCTTTTATTTCTTTTGCAATAAAAAAAATTGGTTTTGAACACTGCAATGCTACAATGACAAACACACAGGCCGCCCCGGGACTTGCATTTCGTCTGCATCCCGCATGCATGCGTGCACCACTCACCCTGGCGGGCCAGTGAGGGTAACCCTTCATCTTGGCGAAAATCAACTCCCCGGCTTTATACTCGCGAGTCATGGCCTCTTCGGGATGGTTTGGTGGTTGGGGGGCGGGGGGGGGGTGTAGAAGGAAAGGGATTGGGAGTTCACGCCGCCAACCTGCACGGGTGCAGCGAAAGGCCTCGGTCGCTTCTTGTTATTGTTGTTGGTGTTGCTGCTGCTGCCGCCTTTGCTTTTTTTTTCCTCGCTGGCGGCGCTGATGAAGCGCGTGCTCTTCCCGGGGACCTTCTACTCGCGTGCGGTTCCGGAGCGCGTGCTCAGCCCTGCCCGCCCCTGGGAACCTGCAGCTGGCTGCGGAGCGCGTTCGAACTGCCGGCGGACCTCCGCGCGCACGCGCGCTCGTCCACGCGCTCTCTCTCTTTCTCTCTCCCCCTCTCTCCCGCGCTGTCCCCGGAGCGACTGCACCATCGGCGAAGAAGCTGGAGGGGCCCCCTGTCTCTCACTTCGGCTTTCCAAATCGGCGCGTTTCTCTGAGGAAAGATATGCCAGATCAAACGCGGGTTTAACGTGCATACGTTTCGAAGATAAAAAGGATGAGTAAGTGCTTGAAAAGGTCTTCGCAAGACGATTCATTTATGTTTCTGCCCCTCCCACTTTCTGACATGGTATTCCCATCAATGGCCATTTAAAAAATGTAGCTCTTCTTTTGGGACTTCTCCATGAGGTGCAGTGTATTTCTTGGGATAATTACCGATTAGGAAGACAATTTAGCCTATACCGTTAATCAGCCAGAAAGATTGAGCGCTGCAGCACCATATCTTTTCAAACTGCATTCATGAAGTTTCTGCCCCAAGCTCAATACTCATTAGAGAAGCTCTTTCCTAAATCTGTTTCGCCCTACATTTCAAGAAAAAAATACTGATATTAAACCCAGTTACCGTTTACCAGCTTTGTCCTGCGACCCCTTGAGTTGTTAGAAGGGATGACTAAATCTAAATACAATGCAATTCTGCATTGTTTTGAGTTGTCGTCGTATGGAGAAATCAAACTGCCAGCTTCTCTGGAAAAGAAAGAGTCCCATGGCAGTATTGGACAATAAAAAGTGTGTGGGAGTTTTCCTCTGTAGTTTACTCAATATTTATTCCAAAACAATCAAAACAATAGACGGTATCAGTATGCAGTTTGTGAGGTCAGGCTTGGGGTGATTGCCTGTTGCATTTCCTATATTTCAACAGTGACTGCTTTCCAATTGTTCTGCATGAGCCGAATAGTGCTTCATTTCGTAAATCTCATAGTAGATTTCAAGTTGATATTGATGGATTTAAAGTGCAAACTTAATAGGCATCCCGAGAGTCGTACTTTGTAAGGTGCAGATGGTTTGGATGCCACCTTTCCACGATTGGTCCATTGAGTTAGGATTAGGTTGACTCTACTCTTTAGTTTCTTCATAAGGTATTAAAGGGTGTGTCTGTACAATGGGGTACAATGACTGCAAAATAGGTATTTTGCAATGATTTACCTTAGTTCCACAATGGGAGACTTACAGGATTTGGTTTGTTCAAAGGGTACTAAGAAGGGATGTTAAAATGGTGAAAGTTACCATCTATGGAATTAAGTCTCTATCTTCTGTTAATTCACTGTCTCCTTAGTGATGGACAAATTCTTGATTGTTTGATTGATTTATTGTTGTCACATACATTGAGATACAGTGAGAAGTGTTGTTTTGTGTGCTGTACAGGCAGATCATACTATGCAAAGTGCAGCAGGGTAGTGGAATAGAGTGTAGAATACAGAATATAGCTGCAAATAAGATGCAGAGAGAAAGATCAAAAGTAACATTTGAGAGATCCATTCAAAAGTTTGATAACGATGGGGAAGAAGCTGCTATAGAGTCATAGAGCTGTACAACATGGAAACAGACCCTTTGGTGCAACTCATCCATGCTGAACAGATATCCAAAATAAATCTAGTCCCATTTGCCAGCATTTGGCCCATATCCCTCTAAACCCTTCCTATTCATATACCATCCAGATGCTTTTTAAATGTTGTAATTGTACCAGCCTCCACCACTTACTCTGGCAGCTCATTCCATACACACACAACCCTCTGCGTGAAAAAGATCCCTTTTAAATCTTTCCCCTCTCACCTTAAACCTACGCCCTTTGTTTTGGACTTCCCCACCCTGGGGAAAAGACCTCTCACTATGCTCAAACACTCCAACCCTGGCAACATTCTTGTAAATCTTTTCTGAACTCTTTCAGGTTTCACAACATCCTTCCTGTAGCAGGGAGACTTGAATTGCATGCAGTATTCCAAAAGTGGCTCAACCAATGTCCTGTACAGCCACAACATTTCTACAACCTGTCTACCTGCGACTCCACTTTCAAGGATCTATGAACTTGCACTCCCAGGCTGCTTTGTTCAGCCACACTCCCTCTTGAATCTGTTTGTACGTGTATTCAAACTTCTGTAACTTCTGTCCAATGGAAGAGGGTGGAAGAGAACATAACCAGGGTGGGAAGGGTCTTTGATTAGGTTGGTTGGTTTCCCAAGGTAGCAGGAAGTATATATAGAGTCAATGGCTGGAAGGCTGGTTTGCATGATGGATTGGGCTGTGTTCAGGACTCTTTGTATTTCTTGCAGTCTTGGGAAGACCATGCTGTGATGTGCCCAGATAGGATGCTTTCCATGGTACATCAAAAAAAAATTGGTAAGAGTCCTTGTGGACATGCTGAATTTCCTTAGCCTCCTGAGGAGGTAAAGACGTTGTAGTGCTTTCTTGGCCATGGCATCAATGTAGGTGGACGAAGACAGATTGTAGTGATTATTGCTCCCAGGACCTTGATGCTGTTGACTGTCTCCATTGATGCAGACAGGGACTTGCCCTCCACTCTGCTTCCTGAAGTCAATGACCAGCTCTTTCATTTTGCTGATGTTGATGGAGAGATTACACAATGTGGAGCTGGAGGAACACAGCAGGCCAGGCAGCATCAGAGGAGCAGAAAAGTTGATGCTCCCTGGCCTGCTGTTTTCCTCCAGCTTCACACTGTGTTGTCTCTGACTCCAGCATCTGCATTTCTTACTATCTCCTTGATGGAGAGATTGTTGTCTTTTTTCTTTCCTGATCAATGCAATGTCATCAGCATATGTCAACTTGCAGAACTTCAGGCAGATCACTGGTGTAAATGTTAAATAATAAGGATACCAGGACAGAATTCCATGCAAGTCCAAAATTAACCTACCTTCAAATCTCACCTCCTCAGAGAAAAGCTTGCTCCAAGATTCCTGAGAGGAAATACTTTACTCTCTTCATAAATGCACAAACAATTAGCACTAAAATTGACTCCACTCTGTCAGAACCAACAATAGAAATTTTCTTTTTGTATTTTGCAGCTGTTGGGTTTCATAAAGATCAAACTGTTTTAGTTTTCATCAGAATCAAATGCCAAACATTCACTCAATTTAGAGAGATTGCTTTCCTGTGTTGAGATTTTCACAACAAAAAAAGAAACTAACAGTTAACACAAAAGAGAGTTGAAAAGTCTTTTATCGGTATATGAATAGTGGAACAACCAGATGAGCAGGGGTGAATTGGCATTTCTCTTTACAATCTGCTTGGTTGACTAAAATAAAGATTTTACATGCTTTTTCACACAAGGCTGTATCTCTCGCCAATTACGATGTAGTGAATAATATAGAGCCAACTGCAAGACTTTCTTAAATGAAAGAAAGTGCAATCTTATTGTCTGCTAACCCAGTGAACAATAATGAAGATACAATGTCAAACGTACACATATAGACACAAACGTTGAAAAAGGAATGTGCAATGCATAAGTAAAAAGATGAAAGGAATATACAGTTTACAGTAATTAGTGCTCATTTAAGGCGTAGGTTTTAACTTGGAACCACAGTTGTTAGCTTGTCGTCATCAACAAAACAAATATTCCAGTTGTCCTTTAATTACACAGCATGTTGATTTTTCTTTTTAATCAGTTCTGTCATTGGGCAGTTTCCCTCTTGGAGGCTAAGACATCCCTTTTCCCAGCTGGCCCCAGTCACAAATCCATCCCACCTGTTCTATCAAACGTAGCTTCCTGAAATACAGCACTTTTTGCATTCCAAAATCCAAACATGTTTCCAGTTGTAGACGATGTCTTTAATCTCCAACATTTGGAACTTATCAAGCATATGTAAATCAAAATAGGAGAAAGGGTTTCGTCATGCCTGTTTAGCTTTAGTGCCTTTTGATGAAAATGGTAATTTCAGTTCAAAAGATGTTGGTTATTTCACATTGGTTTAACAAAGCCTGGCTAGCCTGTGTGTTTAGCTGATTAGTAAGAGTTGTATCCTTTTTAAAACTATTTCAGTCCATGAAGAGCCAAAGTACGACAATCAAATGACAGAATTTTTAAAACATATTTTATCGCTGCGTTCATGCCACAAGGAAGGAAGGCGAACAATATCTCACTTTGTTTACGATGTGTTTCATTACAAGTGTGACATGAAGTAACAAATCAAAAACTGGGATGATAACATGAACATATTCTTATTCAAACACTTGATTTTAACCTAGTTTCAAAATCTGCTTTGCCTGAGCTTTGTGACCTCTCCAAATGTTAATCCTTCACCACCTAGTTCTATAATCAATGATGGGATTTCAGGAATTTTTCCAAACTTGGTTTCTAGGAGTTTTGTGAGTGGTATTCAGATATTTGTCTCCCATTGGGTGTCTGGACCTAAATCCTGCGGCTGACTCTCATTGAATTTTGCATCAACCCAATTGGGCTCTTGAAGTTTGAAACTTGGAGCTGAAATTTCCCATTTTTTGGCAGTTTTTTTTCCCAATTCATGGTCAGCAGTCCGCCATAACTCATGTTGACATTTCTCACAGAATCATCTGTTCTTCAGTTTGTGAATTATGCAAACAGTCTTTTTGACACCTGGCTCATGCAATCGTGGGACAGCAGTGAAGTGCATGGCACTGTGGGTCCTGCAATGTTCATGCTGCTGGTTCCACATTTAAACCCTTGTTCCACCACCACTCAGGCACTGCAAGCCAGGAACCGGCCCCTGCACTATGGTGCTGCATTGTTCGAAACCAGCAAATACGTAGAGAGGGAAGCTCGCACCCCATTTAGCTGGTAGAGATCTGGAGGTTTAGGTGAACTGGGTGGTGGAAAGAAGGTGTGCATGATTGCTCCCAATCTGCTGGGCACTGTTCTCCAACAGCTGTAGACATTGACAGGCAGGCTGGTAGATTCAAGGTCTGTTCATTTTCCACTGGTTTTTTGGGGTATCTGCACATGCTACTTCTCCCTTTGAAGGCAGTGCGGTAGCCACTGGAGGTTTCAGTTCTTGCTGCTCTTGGTGATGACATTATAATTGGCTTCTTTGACACTGTCATCTCACCATCAGAAACGCCATAGTAAATATTCTGAGGGCTGGTTCTGTCTCAGATGAGTGAGCAAACAATCTGTGGGGAAAATCAGAAGTAGAATAGCAGATTAGTATTGGTACTTCAACTTCACCTGTCTCTGTGGTGCAACTGGCCAACACATTCAGCTATTAATTAAAAGGTTTGTGGTTCAAGGCCATCT